GTCCCAGCATTTCAGTTCTAAACAATGCCTCTTTTCTCAGGTGTGCACATTCACATCTTCACAAACATAAAGCCCCCGAAGCAGAAGCAAAACCAGAACCAGAGCGCCATGTCCTGTGGCTCCTTGGGGCCCTTCCAAATCTAAAATTATCTGTGCCTGGGTATTTCATTGAATGAATTCAGAGCCACGACTCAGCCACTGCGGCTGGTTTGGCACACACTCGAAAGACCTTATCCATCTTAGCGGCTAGGGCACAGTGTCAAGTGTCAGGAAAGTGACATACTTCAATGAAAAGCATGCACTAAAAGCTAATGTGGGAAATCCGGTTTCTTCTGGCATCAGGAGGCAGACTGACTCATGTGTTTCCTTTCTGGCTAAGGACTGAGGAATGAAAGGCCAAGTACGGCTGTCATCCAGATGTCCCGCGTGGCAGGGAGTCCTGACCTTCCCGCGTGGCCCACTATGATGGCACAGAGCAATGGGAAACTTTGGCATCAACTGCCAGGGAGCCTGCGTGAGTCTGAGTGATGCACGCACCCAAGGAGGAGGTGAGGCGGGAGCAGAATCACTAGTTATTTTTCTGTTGAGCTGTGCTGACAAGCCATCATAAGCTGTGCGTTTACTATTCAGAATCCAGCTCAGGATAGCTCACCTGGTGACCTGACTTCAGCTAAGCAAGTAACGACATGTTATAGAAAATGGAAGTGAAGAGGATGAGGGTCCTGGGGTGGAGTGCAGATTCACACACGTGCTCCAGCTCGCTCCTGTGTTCCCTCCTGAGATGCTGTCCCCTGTCCACCTGCCTGCCCAAAGCCCTTCACTGACCATGGAAGATGTGAAACCCGAGGCCCAGACAGCATCACATCACATGAACTCAACCGGACATAGTGGCCACATGACTTCCCTACAGAGCAGCTGGCTCTGAGGGGTGCCCCAAAGGGAGGGAACGTGCCTGATGTGCAGATACCCAGAAATGCCAAGGCTGGAACCATCCATCTCTGTTTTCCAACCCAGGAGGACAGGAGGCGGAAGTGATGGTGGTAGGATGTGAGGAAACTGAGAAATAGGGTTTCTGGTGTAAAATAGTTATCAAAGAGAAGAATCCCTCTTTTTCAGAAAGAAAAAGATAAAAGAGAAAGGTTTCATAGATCCTGTCACTCACAAGACTTTTCTTGAAACCTCAGAGAGGAAAAGGCACAGGCGGGACATTTATAGGTGGCAAACACTCTGTGTCTCCATGTGGCCCAGAAAGTGGGACGTTGTGAGGGCAGTGGGATGAGGGAGAGCCTTACCCAACCTCTGCCGAGACCCTGCCCACCTCCCCTACTCAGGGACTGGGCTTTGAGAAGGAGACCTGAGTGTTCTTATAAATGCTTTATAATGTAAAAGTATGCGGGGAAGAACAGGAAAGGTGCCATGTAGCTATCTTTCCATTTATTTTCTTATCCCCGGGTATGCCCATACTTAGAAATCTCTCCCCCCTCCTCCTCAAAAGTCAAGAAAGTTCCCAAACGGAATATGTCAGGTTTACATTATAAAGGACCCCTTCACTTGACGTATGCAGCTACAGAGAAAAGAATTTCTCTTTGGCCACCGCAGAAACAACATATATGCTTACGAAAACATACATGATGGCAGGTGCAGGCCTCTGCCATAGCAGGGCTCAGGGGACCACGCGACTTTGAGAATTCAGCTAGAGGCCGTTCCCTCCCCTTGGTTAGTAAGAGGCACTGCTCTTGGGACTTGGGCTGGTTGGAGAAGGCTCCGGTGGGCAGTGGTGGGAGGGATGCCAAGTCACCTTTGATTTCTGAGGAGCCACCACCAGAAAGGTGTTACCATGGTGATCACCCTCAATTCTGCTCAAATTAGCAACAGCCTTTGCAGAAGCTTCAGTCAGGCAAGGTTCCATTTCAAGGAGGAGAGACAGGGCAGGAGAGAAGTTACCTGAATGGTGGACATTCCTAGGGGGGGAATATATGGGATATGACAATGAAAGCTGTAACGACAAGGGGGGGGGTCCTTGAAAAGCCTTCAGAGAAAGCCACACTTGGCTTCCTGTTTGCCTGAGCCCCTGACCACAGCCCCACTGTGGGACACAGGCTTTATTCTGCTGTCAGCCCCACACCAGGCTCTTGCTCTCTGCCGGCAGGGGGGACCGTGGCTAGCCCCACCAAAGTGATGGGAGAGCTGAATTCTCTGGTGCCCTGAATGAGGCAAGGGAGAGAAGAGAGTTAGGAAGCGCGGGCATATGAGCAAGAAAAAGCGTTACCTGGACCTCAGCATATGCGACGAAGGCCAGAGGAGGGGGCAGTGTGAGCCTGTCCCGTGCGCAGGAGAAAGCGGGGAGGAAATGCGCATGGCAAGCTTGGAAGGATGATAACAGGAGAGAGAGTGGATGGTGAAGGATGAGAAACTACCGGTTACATTTCAGTGAGAAATGAATAGAAAAGTCGAGAAGTGACATCACTAAAAGCAAGTGACAGATCATAACTCTGAATCCATCACATAAGCATGGACCCCAGAACCAGGGGATTCCTGGGGTTCCCTGCACTGTACCTGGTCTGAGGACCAACAGAGAGGCTTCAGCTCCGGGGCTGTTAAGGCCTCCCCTGCCGCCGGCACCAAAGCCACCACCGCCATTTCTCAAAGGGACAAGAAAGAACAAGACAGATGACAACCCTCCAGCCCGTCGTCATTGCTCTGGATCTGAGGAGAGACAGCTGGACTGTAGACATGGGGCAGGCATGCGAGGCTCCCCCTAAAACACACCTCCCTCCCCAAGGGCACCACCACTGTGCCTGCCCAGTTACCAGGCACAGGCCAGGGGTGTGTGAGTGAAACCACCAAGTCTTAGAAACCAGCCTGCGTTCACTGTCAACTCTTTGCATATGTTCTGCATCAACACACACACTGTGCTCTGATATTCCGATTCGTGATGATGGGAGAACGGAAAGATAAAGAAAGGAATGAACATGTTGGGATTGCTCACGCCATGCCAGGCCCTGTGCTAAGCGCTCTTCACACACGGATTCTCTTCATTTCAGAGACGAGAAGCAGAGGTGAAGTGGATCAAAATCTCGCTATGTTGCTCCACGACATGAAGCTAGTAAGTAAAGAGGCTGGCATGCAAACCGGGGTCTGCCTGGCTCCACAACCCACACCCTTCCTGCCACTCCGCCCCGCCGCCCCCAGCAAGCTCTGTTCTTCATAAAGATGGCGTGGGTTCGTCTCTTTTTTTTTTTTTTCCCCAAAGAGAGACAAATTACTTTACTGAGATCAAAACAAGAGAGAAGAACAATATGGTGAACAATGTATGCAAATGAATTGATAAAATAAGAAGGGGACTTGACCTTTTAAAAACCCAAGGGTAATATTTATCTCTAACACAAAAAGGTGGGTCTCTTGAGGACGCAGGCAGATAGATATTCATGCTTCTTTCCAAGAAGGAGTGAGAGGAGCTGGGTTCCCTTGATGGAGCCAGGGTTGCCTTTATTTTTATCTTGCTGTGAGAATCTACACTTTTGTGAAATTTCCTCGGGAATAGCTCAGCCACGTCTAACAGAAGGCTTTCTTGTGATGGGAGGCACAGGTGGTTCTACCTCTAATGGAGTTAACGTGCTGGTGCACATGGGGACAAGGGACCCTGGAATTGTCCTGACTGCCAGTCCAGCTCAGGGTCACAAGATACACTCAACAGGGCTCTCCTTTGGAGGACCCCCCATGGCTGGGGCAGCAGTGGACACAGCCCACTTCTGGGTTCTGGGAGATCTTTACTTCTTAGCGCATATGGGGACCTTCCATCTCTCCTATCGACAGACAGCTGCCCATCCTCGGGCTGGGAGGAATATTCCTTCTTAACTCTCACCCCACTTCTTCGTCTGCCAGAATGGACAGAGATGGAAGCTGATGGAAGCTTGGGGAGAAGGTGAGACGGATGACCCCTTTCTGACCACTTGGGCCTGGAAGGTCAAAGCTATGGGGGTATTTTTGTCTCTTCCCTTTTGTAGTTGCCATCAATGACAGCAGCTCTCAAAGGCGCTCCTTTTGCCCCTTCACACCATGCCGCCAGCCTTGCTTAGAAGACCTGGCTCTCCCTGGTACCCAGACAAGCATGAGGGAATTCGACTGCTCCACCTGGAAGAGGGTGCAACTGCTCTGGCAGTGGAACAAGGTGCAGACGGAGCCCAAAAGCCATCATTCACCCTCTGAGGCATTCTATACACCAGCTTAGAAAAAGCCCTGCTGACATGCCTATCTTCTAGCTACACCCGAGAGGGCTGGGAGAGCCCTTTTTTTGGCTGGATTCCAGAGGAAATGTCAGAGTGTGCTTGAAAACCTGCTACAGATGGGATCAATGTTTGAAAAACCAGTTCCCCAAAGGTAATGAACATGGCTTAGTCACCTGAAGCAGGGTTTACGACTGTCTTCCTGTGTGCTATCAAGGAAGGGAAGGAAAACCTTTCCTTCTGGAGTTAAACATATTAACATGGTTTTGATGCCCCTGGAATAGCTCTCGGGTACCCCTGCTCATGAGCAGAGAACCTCCCCATGCCGAGGATCCTGTGATCCCCAACTGAGCTCTACTCTCTGCATCTTTCTTTCAAGCTGCTCCTTTGATTGACAGCAACATGAAACGAAAGGGTACATCAGCAGTCTGCCCCTGGGTCCCTCCCTAAGCCTGTGGAGGCACTGCCCACACAGATGAGCGCCCACTCATGCGTACTCATCTCCAAGGAAGGAACTCAGGGCCTTTGACTTCTCTCTAGTGACTCTCCCAGCTCCTTCCTCACCAGCCGCATCACTCAGGGCATGAGAGCTGAAGTGGAAAGGCTCTGGGGTGCTCTGCTGAGGGCCACTGGGAAGCAGATGTCCAGGACAGCATTCCTGGGCATCACCGAGTGAATCATTTCTCAGGCTGGCCCTGAAGATGCCCTCAAATCAGCCAGGGTCTCCGGAAGAAAGGCGAGAAGGTAATCCAACAGGAAAAGAGAGTTACTTACGCCAAAGCGAAGGCCACCAGCGCACCAACCACCACCACAAAGTCTAGGATGTTCCACAGGTCTCGGAAGTAGGACCCATCCTGCAGAATCAAGCCCTGGTCGATCATCTGTAGGAGAAGGGTGTGGACAGCCACCAATGAGCCCAGGTGGTGTGGGCAACATGTGCACTGAGCTCGGGGCTCCCTACGGCAGTGCCTCCACTGCGATGCTCTCCATAACCAGCCCCACATGGGGACCTGCAGAGCAAGAGGACAGGTCCCACGGACTCTCTCCACATTGACTGTGAAGCCTGAGGCCCTTTTTCACAGCACCCAGGGTTCAACTAGGCTCCTCGGCTATCACAGAGCCCTGCCACATCCCTCCTTCACTAATGGCTCAGAGTACCAGGCATCGCCATATGCAGATGGGGAAACATCCCAGATGCGCGAGATTGGGAATGAGATAGAAATGTGTCAGGGTGATGGGGCACAGATTGGTGGGCAGTAGGTGCAGCTGGGATTGGGTGCAGTCCAGGAAGACTCAACCCTACCTAACCCCTTGCCTTGGCGCACATCCAGGCTCAAACCAGTGAGCATGCTGGGGAGACGAGTGCTGTGCCCAATTCTGTGTGCTCCCACTGCCTCCTGAGACTGGGCCTGGCTTCTCCTGGGGCCACATCCACAGGTCTGTCCCCCTCTGAATAGATCCGTGCATTTACACTGTACCACAGCAAACTTTATCAGGACCCCAAGGCCAAAGGAGGGATCTGCAGAGGCCTCACTGAGGTTCTGTCATTGGTCAGTAGGTGACAGCACTGGGGAAAGGCATATGCTAGAGGAGCAGACGGGTGGCCCATCCCAGGCCTGAAGCCCAGGCTTTCTCTCGAGGCTCTTACCTTTATAACCATCTCAAAGGTGAACACGCCAGTGAAAACGTAGTCAAAATACCTCAGGACCTATAAGACACACATGTGGGGGAGGAGGTTGTATGTGGCCACCAGGCCATACACACCCCACCTGCCCACAGAGACATGGGGTCCTGCCCTCCCCAACCCCCACTCATTTCTACCTCAGAACAAAACTATAAGTGCTGGGTGGACGCAGAGAGGAGAAGAGCCATGGATCCTGCTAGAGCCACATGACCTGGTGGCCAGTCCCTGGCCTGTCCCTCCCCTTGGCCAGAACTTAACTTCTTGGGTCTGAATTGCTCCACAAACCTCTCTCTCCAGTTCTGGCTCAGAACCTTGTCAGTTCTCATCCTCCCCACCTCACTCAGAGCTATACCCTTGGGACCTCCAGGCGATGTCTCTGCTCCCTGGGGTCACACACGTCACCCATGACGTATGTCAGACCCCGTCCCCAGGCCCATGGGTGGCTGGAGACCCCTTTCAAAGCCCTGGTGGGCCCCAGTGATTTCTTGGTCCTTCCCCATTCCCCAGGAATAACGCTGGGATGGGAAGGGGCCTGGATGGGGCGGGTACCGACCCGACCACTACGGGTGTTAGCGAAGGGTCCCCGTGCACCCACTTTGTTGCGCTCCGAGTTGGTCAGGACGGGGTCCTCGGCCGCCAGGGCAATGCTGCTGGCTGCGATCACCAGGAGGATGCACATCTCGAAGTAGCGCAGGTTCACTATGTAGTGACAAGCCCTGCGGATCCTGGGGGGCGGGGGGGGGGAGGGATGACACCACTGAGCTGGCCCGCATCCTCTGGCTCGCACACCTGATTCCCCGCCCCCACGCACACCAGCCTCCTCCAGACAGCCAGGCCCTGGCCAGGGGAAGCCGTGGGGAGAGCAATTTAATTTCTCAGGCACCACCCTTGATTTAAAGCCCCAGAGGGGAAAGGTAATCAGATCGGTCAGAGGCTGCTGCAGTACACGAGCCAAGATACATTATCCGCTAGCACGTCTGAGACACAGGGGCAGCCAACATCAGGCTACACACACACCCAGGGTGGCTGCACAATGCCCTCCTCTGTACCGCGCTGTCTGCTCCCCCACAGTATGGTGACTGGGGCAGAGCAAGGAAATCATAAGAACCAAGAATCAGAAAATCAGACCTTGAATTCTAAGATTCCTAATGAAAGTGGCAACAGGTTTTCATGTCTCAGAAATTCTGATTAAGGTGATTATACTCCATAGATCGCATTTGGGCCCCAGGTGGCCTGACAGTCCCCAGGCTGGGTTCCTTCCTTCCCAGAGCCTTGCCTGAACGCTGCCCACGTGGCCACGGAGAGCCTCCTGTCTGCCTAGCCTCAAACGTTGGTCTACGTGTGCATCTTGCTCACTTGGCAGGGCACCACAAAGCTTGTCTTTCAGGATTCCATCCTTCCTGAATCTAACCTTCCCGATTCTTCTCTGCCACCCTGCCTCATGCCACTACCTCTGCTCTGAGGAATATGGAACCCATACATTTCGAAATCCACACGGAGGGCAGTGTAACCAATAAATACTCTCAAACACCGATACGTGATCTGGTCAGTCTGGGCTCCACAGTTCTCAGCTCTGTCCACCTATGAAATAGTTGGTAACACATCCCACGGAGATTTCCTTCTCCCCGCGCCCACAACACCTATGGACCAAAGAACAGGTAATGGGTCCTTTCCTCATGACATTTCTCATGCGTTCCTGTCTTAAATTACTCTTTAGACTATGGGCACGGCGTCCAGAGACTGCGCAACTCCGTGACCCGTCTCAACTAGTGAGCACCCTGGATGCTTCCTGTGTCTGGCCAGATTCCACCGGGAAAGATGTGGAAGGTGACTGAGCCCTCCTCCCCCCGTCTCCCCATTCCCCTGCCCTGGCCCAGGCCCTGCTTGTCCACCCTGACACTGCAGGGGGAGTGACGGGAGGGCGTCTTACGGGTTGGTGGTGCTGAAGATGAACATGGAGCTGTGGGGCACCATGGCTTTGCCTGTCTCACGCTTCTCCTTCTTCTGCTTCTTCTTCTCGACTTCCTCCTCCTCCTCCTCTTTGATCGCCGCCTCCTTCAAGGGACTGGCTTCACCATCCGTCTTGTTGCTAACTGCAAGAGGAACATGACGACATCTTCAGAAACCGAGCCACCTGTGAGAATGGAGCCCTTCGTCTTCCACTGGGGGTGGGATGGAGAGGACGGGCAAGGGTTTCAGGAGTGTCCCCGGGGAGGCGCCCTGCCAACAGCGGGGGTGTTTGTTAGATCACACCGAGTTCAGTCCTGCTCTCCTCCTAGCTCGACTTGTGCCCTAATTTTATGTGGTATAGCCTTTCTGGCTGTGGAAATCATTTGCATCACATTTCCCTGAGCAACAGAACGGCTGTTTCTGTTGTCAAGTTTACAAAACGTACTTATATCTAACATCTGGATTCTTTGCATGTATTCCCTGATTGAATTTTCACATCAGTACCCCCTGAGTGGCACGTATTATGATTCCCAGTATACAGATGGGAAAGCCGAGACCCAGGGAAGTCTCACGGCCAGTGTGGGTCCCCGATCCAAAGCCCTATATCCTTTTAATGACATCACACTTCAGTGGAAGATTTTAAGAAACCATCACTCCATTTGTGGCGGCCTTTCTGGCTGTGCTTTTTCCAGTCATGATTAATGTAGAGATGAGAATGCAATATTCATGCGAATACAGGTCCAAAACTGCATTCCAGGATTGAGAGGATGAAGAGGCCAAGACTGCGTAGAGCTGTTGGGCCTGCTACTCTGTTTCCACATGCAAGTCACAGGATGGGTTAAGTGGCAGAGAGGTCCAGGCTATCAGAGTGCGGCAACATTCCCTGGAACCTTGTGTAGGCAGCAAAGCTCTGAGGTTCTGCCCCTTCTAGAATCTTCCATGAGGTAAGCCATCTGAAGTATCCAAAAGCCCTCTGATAACATGCTCTTACCTATGACCAAGGCCACGGACTGGCCCCAGCATGGGAACCAAGAGAGCGTCAACCTTTCTTAATATTGTTTTTCATAAAAGAAGGTCCAATACATTTATATATTAGAGTATAAAATTAAACAGACACCCAAAGACGTTGTGAGTCTGAGAGCCTGAGACATGCCCCAGTCAACCCCAGAAGCACTGGACATGGGAGGGGTCACTTGTTCAAGCAGCACTGGCATTGTGAGTATAGGGAAGTTGAAGCAATGGAGATGGAGCTGTGAAAAGAGAAAAATGTGGAAAAAGTCAGGGAGGAAAAAAAGCAAAGGTAGAATCCTGTGGTCACAATTCAGTGACCATGGGGCAGCAGGTAGGATTAATGCAGGGCTGGGGTTAGGACAGGGTTGGGGGAGGAGTTAGGACAGGCTGGGGGTGGGGTTAGGGCAGACACAGGTTAAGTGTAAGTTAAGTGTTTTTTAGCCCCATTGCCCTTTAAGGTCTTCTAGATTAATATCCCTTGCCTGAGGGAACTGTGAGAGAAAGTGAGACTATGAACTAGAAGAAAAAAAGTAGACAAGGGTAATAGATTCATAAAATGTTAGTAGAGAGACCTCAGAAGCCATCAGTGCTCTCACTTGATAGATGACAAACTGAGTCCTGAAGAGACACAGTGGTTTCTTGGAGGCCACACGCTGAGCAGAGCCATGTCTGCTCCATCAGAGGTCCCCTAATTTGTCCAGGTGGCAGAATACCTTGGGGGTGTCCTGGAAAAGGCTATCAACTATTCCTATAATAAATCAAAAAGCTGAATATATAACTGGGTACCAAGTCACATGTGATCTTTCTGAAGACTCCAGGGTGGTCACAGGCGCCAAAGGCTTAAGGACATTTCATGAGCAAAACTTCAGATTGAGAAACTTCTAACTCACGTTTCCTACAAACCGGGATAAAACTGCCACTATTTTTTTAACTTGAAGAATGATTTTGTCCGGCTGGTGGGGTTTTCCACGCAGCTTTACTGGGGTGACTCTAAAGCCAAGATCCCACCTCGACTGGGTGGGATGGGCAGTGGGGGTGAGGGCAGAGAAGGTGGTCTCACTGTGCACTACGGTGGAGTCCACCAAGGGGTCCACGTCGGGGATGGCGACGGCGATGCTGGTGCTCTCGGTGGCGGCCTTGTCCGTATTGGCCGTGACGCAGGAGAGGTCAGGCTCACTCTGGCTGATGACCCTGCCCATGTCCAGTTGCACGTCCCCCAGCAGGGCTTGGTCACTGCTGCCCTCTGTCTCCTGCTCCGTCAGGGTCCCATCCTTCCCCACTTCCAGCTCTGGTTGGGGCAGGACGAGGGGTGTGTCCGCCTCATCAAGGGATCCTGCCAGCCCGGAGCCACTGGGCACCATCAGACTGTTGGTCCTGTTAAGGGAGAGGACACAGCCGGTGCTCAGATCTTAAGAGGCTGTTGCACAACGGTTGATGGGCCTGGAAAGAGGGAAAGGTGAGGGGAGCCCGGGGAGCCTCCTGGAGAGCACAGGGCATCCGCTGCCTCCCACCCCCACCCAGCCAGGCGGAGAGGAGCTAAGACCCATGGGCTGTGTTCACTGCCTCACTTCTGTCCATCCACCCATGACCCACTCCCAACAGGAGATGCCCTAGAACAGACCCTGGTTTTCAGCGGGGTGGATCCCACTGCCTGTCATATTTACACATCCCTTATAAAGGGTGCACGAGCATCACCCCCATCTTACAAAAGGGGAAACTGAGACTCAGAAAGTCTTAGACCGAAGGACCCCTGACACCAGCCACGTTACGTGCCTTCAGGGCACCCCTGGGACTAATTTACCTCCTTAAGTCCTGGGCTCTCTCTTCCTCCTGGATCGTGGGCTCCTTGCCCCCGTGGCTGCCCCTGGGCTCGCGGTCCTTCTCCCCATCGATGGCCACATCGTCATCCAGGCTCCGCTCCTGGCTGGCAGACCTGCTCCGGGAGATGGAGGAGGGCTCCTTGCCTTCCGTCCTGACACGGCGGTGCCGGCTGCGCCTCTGACTCTGCCTGTGCCTGGCCCGGTCCTCGAAGGTCACCACGCTGTCCCCGCCCCCAGCTTCCTGCTGGGTCGGGTCACAGTTCCCATGACATGGTCTGGCCAGCCACGGCGGCTCCCGCTTGCCCAGGGACAAGGGGCTCTTCTGGTTGTCCAGGGCACTTGAGAGGGCCCCTGTGTCCCCCTTGAGGGACCCCCCACGGCTGATGCGCTCCTCCTCGCATTTCTCCAGGCCCAGGGCCAGCCCCTCAACAGGCCTGGGTCTCCGGTAAAGGCTGGGATGAGCATTGAGCGGGTTCAGGGGGCTCAGGGGGTTGAGGGGGTTGAGTGGGTTCATGGGCGGGGCCTCCTCTTTGTTGAGGGCCTCCTGGCTGGACATCTGCATGTGCCTCCGCAGCTGGCTGGTGCGCTGCTCCCACACCGACATGTGGTGTCGGCGCCTTCGCTCCCTCCTGGCAAAGGGCAAAGGTGAGAGCCACGGTCAGAACCTGGCGGCTGACGGCCAAAGAGGCCAGCCACAGGGGCACAGGCCAGCCCTCAGCAGCCCTGGGAAAGGCGGGGACACATGGCGGGGGGAGCAAAGGGGAGAACCTGAGGACAGGAAGCACAGAGAGATGTAGGGAGCAGAGTGGGCCACGCAGGAGCAGGTGCCTCCCAGCCCACGGGGCTTCCCACACAAACTCCTGCTCTGTAGTAGATGGGGGTGGCCCAGGACCAAGTTCCCAGGGCCCAGGACCAAGTTCCCAGTCCCCAGGACCTGCTGGGCTGGAGTCCAAGGCTACCAAGTCTCCCCTCCCCTGCCTTCCTCTGCTGTTAGGGCATCCACCTGTACCCACTCTTTGCCCACCACTGGCCCCTAATTCAAGGTCAGAGACCTTTCTTCTTCCTGCTGTCCCTCTCTTTCCCTTTCAGACTGCAGCGTGGGATCGCAAGGGCAGAGAGTACAACGGTCAGAAACCATCAAAGGGTGAGGACAGGGACAAGCAGACCCATGTGACAAAAAGTGTTGGCATCACCCTCAAAACCCATGAGTGCTGTGGGTCTCTTCCACAGCAGCGAATGGACACCAGAGGACTGACTGTGTGCAAAGCCCACCAGCAGCTCATCCAGAGCCTCTCAGCTCCGGGCCTAGAGGAGCATTCATGGAACAGCAGGAGCACACAAACGTGACACACACAGGAGAGCACGCAGGTGTGGGCTCACACGGGCGGAAGGGTAGTCACCTACTCCTTCACTCACACCTGCCTGTGGATGCACAGCTACAGACTGTTAAGGGGACACTCACATGTGCCCGCACGCACCTCACTGAGGCCCACACGTGGCTGTACACAACTGCCTCCATGAAAGGTACACCCACGCCAACACATGCCCACTCACGAGCCACACAGAAGAGCGAGCAGTGCACAAGGTCACGTACCTTAGACACACACTGATACGAGCACATGTTGAAAGGTACAGAGGCGCATATCCACAAACCATGTGCACGGAATACACGCGCGCGCACACCACGGCACACACTGACGTGCACACCCAGTGCCACTTGGTCCACGGCAAGGACAACAACACGGTGTCCCCGCACCCACACATAACCACTCACAAACACGCAAACCGGTCCACACATACAGGTGGCTGCTGCGTGGCTCCCACATCGACATGTGGTGTCTTCTCCTTCTGTCTCTTCTGGGAAAGAAAAACGGACAGGTTCAGTGCACCCCAGCCTCTCGGAGCCACCAGCCCCACAGCCGCCAGCTGATTTTCAGGGAAAGGCATGGAGGCCCCCACGCACCCAGACATTCTCCACATGCCCGCTGCTCTCTGCAGACTCCCAACCTTCCACTCTCCACGTGTGCAAATACGTGGATGGAGGTTTGGAAGCATACAAACAGAGGCAAAGGATCTAGCATTTCATAGAGCAGACCGCTTCAGAAGCTCGACCATCATGCCCCACTGCACTCGCTCTTCCACCTAATGGCCTTCAGAGACCTAGTTTGGAAACCCTGTAAGTTGGGTGAAGGTTGTACCTCCTTCCCCCAGTCCTATCTAGGATAGCACATATCTGGCATAGTCACAAGGTGTGAGTCCCGTGCACCACTCCAATCTCACGAAATGTGCAGGGGACAAATGTTGTGCCACTGAGGCCACAAAAGTAGCCCACGACCAAAGGCAGGGCCACCATCCACATAGACCAGGATGTGAGCGGTGACCCCTGCATTTCAGCAACTGAGTGGCCCTGGCCAGAGGCCCTGATGGAAGGTCCGGTCTAGAAAGCCCAGTATTAACTTTCTTAGTTTTGCACAGAGAAATATCTTTTCTACACACACATGCTGTGTCTTTTCAAACACAGTCAATGGAAGGTCAGAGTGGCACGGTGCAGGTATCATCCACTAAGGCAGAAAAGACTCCTGGGAACATGAGACTGTCCGCTCAGATGGAGGGCAATGCAGCTGGGACACCTGTGGAGAGAGCCCGCCCCAGTTCCCAGGCGGACAGACCCGGTCTGGCCCAATGGTCCCTGCCTGGAACTGGAGGTTGACATCGCTGCTCTTTTCCTGATAAAAGTGACACCCACCC